TCCGTGTGTGTGTGTGTGTGAGAGAGAGAGAGAGAGAGAGAGAGAGAGAGAGAGAGAGAGAGAGAGAGAGAGAGAGAGATGAGAGATTATCTGATTGGCTGTGTTTGAGGGATGTAACTGTACCTCTCGGAACTCATTTCCTACCTGCAAAATGAGGAGAATACATGCTCTGCCTTCTGAACACACTTGACACTAAGCACTCAGGGAACACCAGCCCACATCATGACATTTTATTGTGTTGCTCATCTCCATCCAGAGAGCCTCAGCCTGCTCAGTTCTTCCTTTCTGAACAGCCCCCTACACACACTTCTTTCCAGATATGATGGAAAGAAGACAGCTACAATGTTCAGTCCCTTACTATCTCTAGTGGTTGGAAACTTGTCTGGTACCCAGCAGGCTCTTTGTGTTACTCGTTAAATAAATTAACTAAATCCTCACCACACCCTATAAGGTGGGGAGAGTTACTATTGCATCCACTTTTCTGACAGTCGAGACCATGCACCATGAGTGAGATCTGAAGATTTTGGTTTGATTTCTGTGTATGTGTGTGTTCTATGTGTGGATGCCTTCAGAGGCCAGAAGGTGGTGTTGGATCCCCTGGATCTGGTGTTATAGATGACTGTGAGCTGCCCAACACATGGGCTGTGAACTGAACTTGGGTCCTCTGGAAAAGGCACAAGTGTTCTCGAAGACTCTTAACCCCTTGAGCCATCTCTCTAGCCATATGAATGTGACTTGAGACCAGCAGTCTGACTCCAGCACTAGGTCTGCCACAGCATGCACACACCCACACCCTCCCCAGCTCTTCCCACCTACTGTGCTCTGGGGTGGGACCCTCCGGAGCTGGAGCTGAACATCAATATTGGACACTCGCTGACCTCTGTGCTTTGGACCTCAAACCCTTTGTATTTGACCTCTCTGGGCCTAATAAAACCCTAAAACATCAGTCCTGTAATCACGTTCTCTTGACAAATGAGGAAACTGAGGCTCAAAGAGGCGTCAACTAACTGCAGACACAGGATCCAAATCTAAACTCTCAACTACATCATGGCGTTTGAGATTTTTCTTTTTCTCTTACTGTGTGACACAACCCTTGAGAACCATTCACACACACCAACGTCATTCCTCCAGTGGGACCAGGAGCTTTCTGAGGCCAACCAATCTCCCATGGCCCCTTCCAGGAGTCACCATGGTAGCCATGGGGCCTGGGGCCATGTCCACAAAGGATCCCTAGCCAGGGACACCTGGTGCTATCTGTATCTGTCCGTCCGTCCGTCTGTCCATCCCCACACACATCCACTGCCTTGATTTGCAGACTCTCTCTGCCCTTTCAAATATTTGAGTTGGTGAAGAGTCTGCCTCTTAACCCAGACAGGAGGCTCCCCAAAGATACCTTTTCTCCTGTGAGTCCAGGGCTCCCACCTCTACCTTAAACCCACCGTGGTGAGGTGGAAGGGTGGAGAGAACCTGGTGGTTCAAAATAAGAGATCTTGTCCCAGCATCCCAAGTTCAAAAGTACCAGCTCTGTAGGACCTTGGGCAAGCTCTGTAGCTTTCGAAGCCCTGCTTCTGTGATATAGGAGCCCCCCTCATCTGGGAGGTAAGTTATCAAGACTTACCCGGGTGAATGCCTGAGACTGGCAAACTGTAACCCCTATGGATACAATGTTTTCAAGTTTAGTTAGTTTGTCAATCACTCACCCTAAGAGATTAGCAACAATATAGTTGAATGCTTACAATATAATAAGTGTAACAAAAGTACTTAAAACTTATTGAAGCAGGGGCTGCAGAGGTGGCTCAGGGGTTAGGAGCACTGGCTGCTCTTCCAGAGGACCCAGGTTCAATTCCCAGCACCCACGTGGCCGCTCACAACTGTCTGTAACTAGAGTTCCAGGGGATTTGACATCTTCACACCAATGCACATAAAATAAACTATTAAAAAAAACTTATGAATTGTTTATTTCTGGAATCTTCCAGTTAGTAGTTTTGGACTCTTAAGTGACCACAGTTACTGAAGTAAAACTGGAGGCTGGAGAGATGGCTCAGTGGTTAATTAAGAGCACTGGCTACTCTTCCAGAGGACCCAGGTTCAATTCCCAGCACCCACATGGCAGCTCACAACTGTCTGTAACTCCAGTTCCAGGGGATCCAACAGCCTCACACCAACATACATGCAGGCAAAACACCAATGCACATAAAATAAAAAAAAATTAATTAAAAAAAAAAAGCTGGGTGGTGGTGGCACACACCTCTTACCTCAGCACTTGGGAGGAAGAGGCAGGTAGATCTCTGAGTTCAAGGCCAGTCTGGTCTAGAGAGAGTTCCAGGCCACACAGAGACATCCTAGCTTGAAAACTCCCAAAAAGAGAAGTAAAACAGAGGCCATGGGTGGCAGTGTAAACAAGGACAACAGAGGCGACCGCTCTTGCTTGTAAAATTCTAAGTGTTTGCTAAGTAAAGCTGAGGATGTGGGGGCAGCTCAGTGGAACAGCATGTGCTCCGTGTGGAGAGGCTCTGGGTTCAATTCTCAGCACCAGGGGGAAAAAGTACTTAATGAAAGTAGGAAGGCTCTGCCCTGCCATGGAAGGCCTCCTATGGTCGGCCACAGAGCGCCTCAGTTCCAAACAGGCGAGTGAAGAGCTCAGGAAAATTGAGAGGTGGCAGAAACCTTACCCTTGGGGGAGCCACTGTGGGGTTAGGGAGTAGGGGGGACCCGCATCCTCCCAAGCCAGTGGACCCCATTTCCTGGCCTCATCAGACATCTGGCCTAATCCTCCCACTCTAATCTCCGAAAGGTCTCCCATTGTTAACCCTTTCCACCCAAGACAGGTTACTGCCTCAATCCAGGCCTTGCTTCTCTTAGTTGCTGTGTGACCTCAGGTGAGCCACAGCCCCTCAGAGGCTTTACCTTCTTCATGCTGACCACGGGGTAATCCTGTCCCCTCCCAGTGATAACTGAGGTCATATCCATGGATGTGTCACAGGCACGCTGTTATGCTGGTAACTTAGACCCTTGACCACACAAGGAGCGTGTCATCCGGGCACCAGTAGGGCAGAGAGCTGTCCCTGAAAACTGACATCCTCTTGCCTCGAAAGTTCTCCAACAGTCTTGAAATACCACCCCAAGCAAGTTCCCACTCACAACCCCATAACACTGAAAGAGACAAGGGTTCAAGCCAGGCTTCTCAAGGCCACAACCACTAGAGCCCAAGGCCTGAAGCCAACCAGGGAGAGAAAAGGCGGGAAGAGTCCCTGGGGGAAGAAGCAGGGGCTGTGAAGGAAACCCTGTGGTGGGAAAGGTAAAGGGAGAAACCTGCTCCCCAGAGCCCTGCTCTTCCCCCACAGAGCGTCACCTGGCCAGACCTTCCACCTCTCTGAGAGGCAAGAGGAACTAGTGGCGGCAAGTTAGAATAAGAGATTAACTCTGTTAATTAATTAAAATAAACAGCAAATTAAATACAGCAAACTTAAAATAGCACAGGAAATTAATTCTCTACTAGACCCACCTCACAGGTGAGATGTTTCAAGGGCCCCTCACAAACCGGATCCAGGGCAGCTGAGGGGCTGTGTGGCGGATCACTTGCCTCACCATAACCCCTCACACAACATAGCTCCCTGAAGGCATTCACCTGGCTCTTCACCCCCAAAGGACTCCATGAACTGTATTCCTGAACCTTGCTCCCCCATCAATGGGAGGAAGGGCCTGGCACAGCCCAGGTCGGAGGTTAGACTGTGTCCTCCTGGGCACGTGGCCCATATCCACTGCCACACAAGTTAGGGCAGGACGGAAGAGGGACACAGGCCCTCTCTTTTGGGTCCTTTCTAGGGGTGGAGTCAGGCTTTAGAAAGACCTCTGTCTTCTGGGCTGGGCTCTAGCCTCTCTTCAGGGTGCCGAGGTCCCTCTCTGGAGACCCTCACTTCATTTTCTCAGGACACTCGGGAAGAAAGCACTACCTACCGAGGCCCAGAATCCAAGCCAAAGACGTTCACTCCAGGTGGCTCACCCAACCCTCACATGAGTTTCCTCCCACACAAGGTAACAGCTTATTTCACAGATGAGGAAACTGAGGCCAGGGCAAGCACGTGGTGGCGCCTGAAGCTGAATCTCAACGGCCACACTTCATGTTACCATCAAACGTTCAGAGTTTGAGTGAAACCCAGCTCTACACTGACCCCTCTTTCCCATAACCCCACGCTACAGCTCCATCTCCATGTGGCCTCCCCGACAGTGGATGAAGGACAACAGCCTCTTAGTTCCTGCCCTCCAGCTGTTGATGGCAGATAATGAATGGTTCTACCTGAAGCTCCTCCCCCAACCTCAGCCTGCCCAGATTCTACCCGCATACCCCCAGCTCCATCGGCCCACCAGGGTACCGATGCTTGCCTCCTTCAAGCAATCAGGATTGCTCTACCTCCACCCCTGCCAGAGCACTTCCTACAGTCTGCCTGATAATGTTATCCAATGGCACTGTCCACCCCAGTACCTGGCATGGTACCCAACACTCAGTTGGGTGCTGAGTGGATCTCATCTGACTGATGTCCTCCGCCATGTCCAGCTGATACCTGACTGTAGCGGCTACTATTTACCCGCTAGCTACAAGCCCAGCACCACCTACACTGTCCCATGGTCCCATGATGGCCCTTGCTCATAGAAGCCTTACAGCCCTGGACCTGGAACCACACCGATCCTTGCCTGTACATGAATCTCCCCGTCTATGCCCATGCTTCCAGATGAGCCCTCCAGTCTGTACCACTCAGACCTCCCAGATAAACCACCTGTAATCCCAGAAGGCTGAAGCGGGATGGCAAGTTCCTGGGCTACACAGTGACTTCTGGGGATAGCCTGAATTACAGGGGGAGACCTTGTCTCAAAACAAGGCCAAGTGTGGTGCCTCACACAGAGGCAGGAGGAGCTCTGTGAGTTCCAGGCCAGCCAGGACTATGCAGTGAGACCCTGTCTCAGAAACAAAACAAACAAACAATCCAAACTTTTCCAACTACATGTTTCCAGTCTAATGATCTAATCTAATCCAGAGTCTGATGCTAAAGACTTCCTGTGTCGGGGCTGGAGCGATGGCTCAGCGGTTAAGAGCACTGGCTGCTCTTCCAGAGGACCTGGGTTCAATTCCCAGCACCCACTTGGTGGCTCACAACCATCTGAAGACTCCAGTTCCAGGGGATCTGACACCTTCACACAAGTGCACATAAAGTAAAGGTTAAATAAATTACATTAAAAAAACAAAAACCTTTCTGTGTCTTTCCATGGCTCACTGAACAAAACTCACTTCCCTGAGCAGGACAACCTTCCACCCTCTTCAAAGCTCTCCTCTGCTCTAACTGCACTCCATTCCCTCAGCACGTCAAAGTCAGATTCCCTTCAGGCTTTGTACATGCTGTTCCCTCTGGCTAGAACACCCTTCCCACAGTGTTCCTGTTATGACGTCATACACATCCCCTGATAGCCAAGATCAAGGTTTACCTTCCAATCTAGTAGAAAGAGGGAAGCAGCAAATAGCCAGGTTGGTCACAAAACTTGGAAGGAAAAAGGAGCCTATGGCTGTCTTTGTTATCAGTCTCTCTGGGGCTTCACCCATAAACAATGCTCAAGCCATATGTAGTACGGGAATGAGTGCTCCATATACACTTGTTGACTAGACAGAAAAAAAAAAAAAAAAAAGACAAAAGAATACAAGGCCATGGTATGCGGGGCCGGAAGTGGAGGAGAGACTGAGGCTAGGAAGGCCAAGGACACAGTGAAGAGCCGCGACAGATGCCACGAGGGCCAGATCTGCGGCACAGCTCCACTCCTGGCCGCCGGAGTGTTTGCGAGAGGCAGAGGACGGGAAGTGAAAGGAGGCTCAGGAAGTGTGTGCGCATGCATGCGTGTGTGAGAGGTGAGGATGCATGCGTGTTGCGTTTGTCAATTAACCTGTGTGTGAGAACACAAGGAAATGGGGGAGTTGACTGGACTCGGTGCGAGAAAGCCATGAAGGCTGCGGGAATGCATTGGTGTGTAAGGGAGGAAACGGTGCAGGTGTGCATACACACACACAGGATGTTGTATGTACCTGACCGAAGGTGCACATGCCTGCTGGAAGGGGAATGACCGAGAAAGACAAGGGGAGGGGGCACATGACTGAGGGGGTGAGGCTGTAAGAGGGGGCTGCTGTAAGACTGTACAGGGGAAGACGGTGTCCCCGTGAGCGTAACCAATACAGAAATGAAGAGGTGTCAGGGCTCTGCTGAGGGGGTGGCTGGGGTGGCTTCTCCACAGGCCTGGTGCCAGAGGTGGGGGCCAGGGGTTGGGGCTCAGGGAGCAGAAGATTCCTCAGAGCCTCTCAGGTGCCAGATCACTGTGTTCCCAAGCAGGGAGGCTGAGACAGAGGCCCAGATGTGCATGTGCCTCCACATCTGTCCACAGCAAAACCTCTGGGCATTTATTTGTCTTTGTCTACGTCCGGGTGTGCACGCCCGTGCTTGTGTAAGCCCTGCCAGCCGTGTGTCTGCACTTGTCTTTGTCTGTCTGTCTCCAGGGCCTTTGTCTGAGAGTGTGGCTGTTGGTCTGTGCCTGTCTGGGTGGCAGTGTCTGGTTTGCTGTGTCTAAGTTTATCTGTGTCTATGGGGTACCATGTATCCTTGACGCTGCATGTCTGAGGGGTGGATGCAAGAGACCTCTCGGGCCGCTTGTTTGCATCTGCAGATCCGGGTGGCCTTCCTCTGGAGGACACACTATTCTGGAGCTGTGGGCCCAAAGCTCTGGTGTATCTGAGTGTGTGCTATGAGTGTGTCTCTGTGTGAGCCATGCTGTAGCACAGCGATGCTTCTCTGTGTTTGTGACGCTGTGGGTGTGTGTGTGTCTCTCTACCTCTGCATGTGTGTGTCTGTGTGCGTGTTGGGTGTGAGGGGTTTGTCACAGACTGGTGAGCAAGTTAATCTCAGACTCCGTGACACGTGGAATAAAATCACGCTCCCATAATAGGATCATTCGTCTTCCTGTCCAAGGAGAGAACCGACTCTTCACCCTCCACCCTGGGGGAGCCAGTGGGGCCAGGGCCAGACTCCAGCCCCCACTCAGGCCCCTTCTGGCCCCTGGCACCTCTCTCCCTCTCTGCCGCAACAGGCTCATGCGGCCTCCAGAGTGCCCTGGTGCCCACTGTGGACTGGGCAGGGCTCCAGGCCATGTGACTGGGCCTTAGAGGCCTGTCCTGGGCCCCCCAGCCCCACCCACTGCCAAGGAGGGCTCTGCCCCAGATGGGGGGGGGGGTTGCAGGAAGGAATCTTTGAGTCCCTCCTCCTCCCGGAGGGGAGGGATGAGCTGCAGGCCCAGCCGGGATTTTCCATCTCTCAGCAACAAGATTCCTGGTGAGCAGGCTGCGGGGTTTGGCAGGGCGCCTGCTGGAGACCCGCCCTCACCCGCCAGGACGCCTGAGTCCCCAAGGCCCAGCAGCAACGGGTTCCCTGGGGAGCTGGGAGGGCCCCAGCACTCCGGCCTACAGTTGCCCTGGGCCTGTGGGAAAGCCAGACCCCCTGCCTTCCAACCAAAGATGGCTCCCCAGCCCCCACCCCGCAGGCTAACGCCACCCTTCCTCTGGCCTCCTTGAAGCCTGCTTTCCCAGGCCAGCTACCAAGCACCGCCCTAGCCTGACCTCAGCACACACCCTGCTTTGGGTTCTAAGGCTCACCTCCAGGTCTCAGGGATGCAGGACAGGGTTGTTTCTCTTCTCAAGACTTGGGGTGGGGGGGGGATTCTCAGGCCAAGACTATTTATGAGTCTCGCATCTGTGAAATCCTCTTGGTCCCAGCTCTCCTTCTGGACTGAGCTGAGCAGCACCGGCTGGGGAAACTGAGAGAAAGAAGCCCTCTCTTCTCTACCCATCATAAGCCCCTCTACCCACCCATCCAGAGGCCTCTTAATTTTGCCCATCAATGCTGCTGCGGCGCCTCTCTCTTTCCCACGAGGGCAACGTCAGAGGGGTGAGCCTCCATCGGAGTTTGGGGAGGAGAGTGGGCAGGTAGGTGGGTTCTCTCAACCCCCAGCAACATGGGATGAGCAGCTGGAAAGCTGGTTTGGTGAGAGATTAAGGTTGAAGAGGAACCAGAGACTCCCAAGATTTATGAGCCTCATTCTTCTCCCTCAAATTCCCCTCCAAGTCCCCCAGTCCCAGCCTGGTCCCTCCAGGGTTGTGCTGTGGCCCCAGGCCAATGTCAAGGCCCCAACCCATCCATCAGCTGTTGCCAGGGAGTTTCCGCCCCAACGGGTACCAAAGGGAGGGGCCTAACCGACACTGGGGACTCAGATGGATGGGAGGGGGCATGGCCCTGAAAAGTCGGCCAACAACTCTGCACTCTCCCAAGAGCTGGGGGGCTCCAAACCTCCAGGGAAAAGACTAGGCGGTGGGGGGAGACCCAAGAGGAGGTGCCCCCCAGCCCCATGCCACTCCAAGCCCCACCTTTTCAACAGGCCCGAAAGAAGACCTGGGATCCAGAGGCCCTACAGCTCACCAGGGTGTGTGACCTTGAGTGGCTTCTAGTCCTCTCTGGGCCCCAGAACACACTACCGGAAGTGGTTCTGATAGACCAGGTAGGTAGTCTCCATCCAGCTCAGCCCCTTCCACACTAGGCCCCGCCCTCTCGCCAGCAAGGGAGTCAACAGAAACTGGGCCACATGGGGTGAGGTGGCCCAGGTAACTAACTGAAAGAGACTGAGGCCACCCAAGTCAGTGCTAAAAACCTAGGATTATTCTCCCTCCTATATCCATTTTGGGGATCAGTAAAACTAAGACTCAGGGAGGGGGTCAGAGTCAGGACTATGAGGACCTGAATTAATGTACGGCTGTACCGGAACAGGCTGTGTGAATTCCCACACCTTCTCTCCGTCTTGGACTTTGCATCTGTAAAATGGGGTTGCAGCCCTCATAGGAATACTGAATCCAGTCGAGTCAATGCGGGCAAACGCCTTGGCCCAGTGCCTGACACACAGTGACTGCTCTCCCAACTGCTTAATACTATATTCACATAAATCCAAGTGGCCAGAGGTGAAGGGAAGGAGGGAATCCAGATGTGGCTGGAGGATGAAACCAACCTCCTTGGGCCAGGTTGGGACCTCCAGAGCCTCAGACCAGGAGGGCCAGCCAAATTTCCTGGAGGCCCCCCAGCTGTCTCCCCTACTCGTTAAAGGCCTCTCATTAGTGAGCCGGGGCACCTGCCCCTCCATGCGTAATAAGCCTCATTAGTATCTTAGCCCCAAGCTCTGAGCCCAGTGTGTCCTATGTGTGTGCACGCACATGAGGGTAGGGGGCCGCAACAGGCCACCAGCCAGGAGACAGCACCCTCGCCAACCACACCCCCTGCCTGTCATCCACAGAGCCCGTCACCACCCAGCTTGTCACCTGCCTGCCTCACACCCGCACCACCTGTCACCCACCCAGGCTTGTCACCCACCCAGCCCATCACCTGCACCACCTGTCACCCACCCAGCCTGTCACCGAAGCCGCCTGACAGGCATCTGGGTGGGGGGACAGGAGATGGGGAGAGAAGCCCACAGAGGTGTAGAGCTGGGGGCCCCAGAGACCCTGTGGGACCCCCACTTCTGCTCGGCATCCTGCAGTATCGCCATGGCAACCTCTCAGCCGCAACCACTTTCCCAAACATCCCCCGCCTGCCCCCCCCCCAGGCCCTGCTCTTAGCTGAGCTGAGAAGAGCCTGAGTGACAGCAGAATGCGGTGGGAAGGAGGGGGTTCATCTGCTGGCTGGCCTTGACCATCTTGTCCGCCCTTGGACTCGGTTACTCCATCTGCAAAATGGAGGGGCCAGAAGGTGAGGCCTTGGGAGAGCAGGCCATCCTTCTCCACCGTGGATTGGCTGAGCTGGCTGCCAGTTAGCCTGTGAAAGCCAGGAGGTGGGACAAAAAGAGGGGGGGGGGGGGGGGGGGGGGGGGTTCTGGGCTCTTCCATACTCTTCTGCCAAGGTCCCAGCCCAGAGTGGCTAGGCCTCTGGCTCAGGCTCACACAGCAGGAAAGAAGCAGGCTGGGGGGGGGGGGGGAGAGGGCCTCGGCTACAGGACTGCTAGCTAGAGGTACCACACTGTGTGACCCAAGGTGACTAGGGGCAGGCTTGGCTCCCACCACTGAGCTGCATTATTTATGAAACTCGGAGGTGAGAGAGGAACAGCAGCTGTGACACTGGCCCTCTGGGGGCTCGTGCCACGGTGGGAGGGTGAACCCAAGGTGGTCCTCAGGAAAGGACTTGGGAGTCCCTGGCTCCCTTCGGGGCTGGCTGGGGCAGGGTTCAGAGGGGCAACAGCCTGTCCTCCCTCCCAACCTCGCCCCCCCCCCCAATTCCTCTCCACTCCTCCAGGCAGGCAGCGATAGGATTACTTCTGCATGACTGCCCGCTCCACAGGGTTCCGAGACCCTCCTGCCTGCAGCGATCTTTAAAATTCCTCCAGCCCAACCTCTCTCCCTTTCTCCCCGCAGTGAATGCTCTGGAGTCTACCGCAGTGTACCTACTGCTGCTGCTGCTGCTGCTGCTGCTGCGTTACAGCCTCCACCAGCACCACGACCAAGCCAGCGGGGGGCCAGGTCCCTCGTGCCCAAGGATAAAGATGAGCCCATCCTCGGGGTTCGGTCCTACATCCCTCAGACCCTCTCCCCGCTTGGTGCTGCTGACCCAATCCCACAGACCACAATGCCAGCCGGGGTCAGGCATACCCAGCAGTACCAAGGCGGATGGGCACTATGTACCAACACATCTGGTAGCACTTGGAGTGCCTGCCCATGTCTGGTGTGCCAGAACCTGGCTGCTCCATCTCAGCTGTGACTCCCCTCTCTCCCCAATCCCTGCTACCCCCCGGGGTGAACAGACAGCTTGGTCAAGCTAGTGCCTGTGGCTCCCAAGAGCACGAAGGCAGGAGAATGTATCCTCTGAATTTTTTAAGAGCCTAATGTAGCCTGCAACCTAGCTAGGACTTGCTATGCTGGGACCTTCTTAGCTGGGCAGTGTTTTGGGGACCCCTCCCACAGCAATATAACTGCTTCCTCTTTTAGGACTTGGGAAGCCCTCTATGAGCCTTCTCTCAGCAAGAGATACCAGGGACCCTCAAAACAGAAGTGAGTTGGGGGGGGGCTGCAATACCCAACAGCCCCCCCCCATCTCCCCATCCCTAAAGCAGGCAGAAGCAGCTCAGGCTCTAAATCACTCCCCTCATGCTGCCCTCTGAGGCGGATTCTGTGCATCTGTAATTAGGGGGTGGAACAGATGGTGGAGATTCCGTTTAAAATCATGCATCTACTAAAGGAACTGACTCCCAGGGAGGCCATGCCCCACAGCCTAGATCTGTGGGGGCTTCCAAGCCAGCCCTCTCCCTACCCCTTCCCCAAAGCCCCGTCCTTCTCAGGTGTGGGGGGAAATCTGGCAGGGCTGAGATGTGGGAGTAACTTCCCCTACCCGCAACATGCATGCCAGAGCCCAGGCAGAGCTAGGTACTCAAAGAGTTCTTGGCTGAGAGTCCGGGGCGACCAGGTGCCAAGTGGTTCTGCCTATCCCCTAAAGGGGCTCAAACCCCCCCCCAAGCTTAGGCCAGAGTGTCCACAGCCCAGGATCTGGGGGGCAGCTTTGAACCAGATGTCCAGCCTCACTGTCCAGGAATGAAAGGCCCGGGGGCAGTGAGGGGTGGAGACGGCTCCCCAGGCAGAGGAGGCTCTGGGAAGTGGAGGAGGGCTTGGGCAGCAGACAGAGAGCAGTGCGTGTGAATAAGGCGAGGCTGTCTGGGGGTAAGGAGCCGGGTGGGGGAGGGTGTGCTGGAATGTGTGGCTGGTGGGAGTGAGGGCTGCAGAAGAAACGGAGCTGAGGCGGGGTGTGTGACAGGGGTGTCATGGGGTGCCGGGGAAGCTGAAAAGCTACATGAGAGCTCAAAGGGGCGAATGGGTCAGGGCGGTGACTAGGCAAGGCTGTGCATGTTGTAGACACGCTGAGTGTTTGGAGAAAGGTGTAGGAGTGTCCCTGTGCCTTTCCAGGGTTGAGCCTAGAATCAGAGCTAAGTCCGGGGAGGTGCTAGGGCTCAGGCAGGGTTGCCTATCTATGGAAGTGTGGGAACCTATGGGAAGTGGGGATGCACGCACATGCATGCTGGCGAAGGTATTAGAAGCTGTGGGGACCTTTGGAGGTACGCTAGAGGAAGCTTTGTCTGCAAGTTTGAGATAAAGGTGGAAATGAGGAGCCTTGACTGCGTGTGTGTATGTGTGCGTGTGTTGGGGGGGGGGCTTATTTGAAAAAGTGGGGATGCAGACTGCCAGGCTTTAGCTGGGGGTAAATGCTTGTGTGAGGGGAGATGTTGGATGTGAAATCTATGTATGTGGGGAGTTTTGAGGGCTGTAAGCAGGTCTTGGGTATATCTGGTGAAGTGTTGGGGTTGGAAAATGTGGCAGAAGCTGTGTGTGTGTGTTGGGGTGTCTAGGAGTCATAAAAATCGGGGTTCGGTTGAGTGCTGGGACTGCGCTGTGTTTGGAAAGACGAAGCGATGTTTCTGGACAGGGTACAGTGATCTTAACTGGGAATGGATATGGAGGAGCTGGGAGGGACAGAGAGGGGCCGTGGGTCTGAGAGTGTGGCAGGAGCTACTGTCTTGTATAGGGAGGTTGTGTCTGGGGAGGTGCCAGAGGCCTGAGAACTACGTACTGGGAGGGCGAGTATGGGTCCTTGCTATCAGAGATGCCGGGGTTATAAAGCACACGTGCGGGGCGGCGGCGGGGGGTGGGGGGGGGTTAATCAGGATTCTAACTGGGCTCCCGGTTGCTTGGGGAGGTGTTGCAGCTTACACGGGTAGCTGTGTGGTGTTTGTATTTGGGGGTGTCTTGGCTATGTGCTTGTGAGACAGTTGGATATCAAGGAGGTGTTGGTGCCGGTGGTTGTGTGTAGAAGTGTTGAGGCTGTGTGTCTGTAGGAATGTTTATCAGTTATTTGGAGTCGTTGAGGCTGTGAGCACATACGTGGGGCGCTTGTGTATTTCTGGGGCACTGAAGGGATTGCTGGGGAGCCGTATGGCGAGAGGAAGGGAATAGGCCTCTAGAAAGATGGAAGGCAGAATCCTAGCCTTTGCTCAGAGGCCCACCTGGGGACTGCCCCCCTAGAAGCCCTCTGCTGTGGGGTACCTGTACTGCGACCACACTGTTGAGACAGGCAGGTCCATCTGTCTCCACTTGTGCCCGGGCCCCAGGAGTAGAGCTCCCTCCTCTGTCCCTGGGGGGGGGGGCAGCAATGAACCTCAGCCCACCCACCTGCCTTCAGATGGTCCAAGCAGAAGCTTCCACAAGGCTGCCTGGAGGGCGTCACTATGTCTGAAGAGGCACTGGCTGGGGATGGGGAGAACTACCCAGAAACAGTCCTTATGGAGGCTCCTTTGAAAAACCACAGCCGCCAGGCAAGAAGAAGCAGGAGGACAAGGGCAGGCATGTCTGTCCTTGGGCTGTCTGTGTGGGTCAGCCCCCAGCTGCAAGCAAGCTCCCTGGTAGCCCTTGTCATGTTTTTATGCTGATGGTCCCTATTCAGTCATCACCAAGGTCTTGAAACCACCCATCTAAGCCAGGGCAACAGGCACTGGCACCTATGCACACCTCCCAAGTTCAGACAGACACCCACACACTTCCACGTACAATGTGCACCACTGCACCCTTACACACGTGGCTCAATCCCGGGCCCCTGAACCTGTACACATAGGCACACTGCATGTAGTTACTCAGCTCTGTAAAACCCTCTTGTCAAGGCAACCTAAAGTCAAGGTTTTCTTTCTTTTTTTCTTCTTCTGGTAATACTAGAGATTGAACCTGAGGTCTTGTGTATATTTGGAAAATGCTCGATCACTGAGCTACAGCTCCAGTCCTCTTTACACACCCTTACCTCACACACATGCATCCACATTGATACCTGCCAAGCAGTTATCTCGATCTCTGTGTCTCTCTCACACACACATACACACACATCTCACCGGTGCGCAGTCTTTCTCACATACTCCACGACAGACTCACACATGTTCATGTCCGTATACACACACGCCCTTACCCCTTCTCAGGTAGCTTTTTCCCACTATCCAATCCTCCACAGCACCTTTGTGTCCAGGCGATTGCCTCGCCTTCCTTGGAGAGCTTCTACCCACTGGGTAGATAGATCCTCTACCGGCTGGGTCAGAGTGGAGGCCCTCTCTGCTCAGGTATGACCCTCGCTATATGTGTCAGAGTTTGAGTTTGTGACACTTCCGAGACCTCACAATAGGCCTGTGTGTCACCACCTGGATAGCTAAGGAGGCACAGGCATGTTATCTGTTACATGGTAAGAGACAGAGTGAATGTAAAGGCGAGGAGGCACCAAGTCATAAAATGTGTATGTACAAGTGGGAGTCCAGGGGCACATTTACACAAAAGAGACATCCTCCAGCCAGTGGGAAGCACGGAGGGACCGTTCCTGAGAGCCAAGAAAGTCACACAGTTCCATGCTGGAGTAGGGGGCAGGAGAGCCCTCTGGGCCATCCCCCTTCCAACAGAAGAGCAGAGAGGCAGGAGCTGTGCAAGGCTTTGCTCTCTCTCTCCCTCTCTCTCCCTCTCTCTCCCTGACCTCTTTTAGCAGCTGGAAACTGAGCCGGGGGAGGAAGGGATGGAGACTTGGCCGGCCGGCCGGGGGTTTGGGGAGGGACGAGGCAGACAACACCTTCCAGATTCTCATCCAATTCCTGTTTGTGGTTTGCAGCCTCAGTCAGTCAGTCAGTCAGTCTCTCGGTGTCTCTCTCTCCTCTCCTCTCTCTCTCTTCCCCCCCCCACCCGGGTTTCCCCTTTCTTTATCTCTTCCTCTTTCTCAGCGCTCCCCATCTTTCTCTTCGCTTACCCTATCTCTGTCTCTCCTCAGCCTTTCCATGTTTCTGACTCTTCTCTCTGCCAGCACCTCTGTCTGTCCGTCTCTCCTTGTCCCAGTCCATCTGTCCGTCTCTCTCGGTCTGTCTGTGCGTGGGTGTCTCTGTCCATCTGTTCTACCATCCATCTGTCTGTGCTAGTCCTCCTAAAGGTACCCACTGGCTCTCTCAACCTCCTCTAGGTCAGCAAAGGCCTCTCCTGGCTCAGGAGGGGAGGGGGTCGAGACCTGCGGCTTCTGCCTTCAGTACCATCTGGGATGCCCTGGGAGTTGAGGCCAGCCAGCTGCAGAGGCAGCCCCCCCTCCCCTACGCTCCCAGGCCAAGGACCCCAGAGCAGAAACCAGAGTGAAAGCATGGCTGTATCCGCAGCTGAGTTCCTACATGGCTTAGCAGGGGTCTCACTTTATCCTCAAGTCACAATTCTCCCCAAAGTCAGGCCCTGGTAGGAGAGGGCTCCTCAGTGCCCACCTTCCTTACATCCTAGCCAATGAGAGAGACACAGGGATCCTGGGAGAGGGAAAGGCTAGGCCTTGTGGGAAGGAGGGGCTGGGAGCCAGGGCTTCCTGTCAGCTGGGCAGGAGGGGCTCTTTCCCTCCTCCTTTCCAGGCAGTCTCTGGGGACCCCTCCCAACTCCAGGCACTAGGGGTTATACTGGAAGTTCCTGTCAGCTCCATGGAGCCATTTCTACCTCCTGTCGACCCAAAGGGACATGGGGTCGGGGGAAACCACACCAGCATCTCCCCAGAAACAAGCAGAGGACAGTTTGGGTCATGTGTGGACCCTAGTCCAGTCTGGGCACTGGTTATCTTGAGAGGCACAAAGCAAATTATCCACCACTCACCACTGCCAAACCAGAGGCTACCCACCATATACACATGCATACACAGTGTCTCGGTGCCACCGCCCACTCACTTCGTCCCTGCTGCAGTGGCACACACCCAGAGACCTGCTGCCTACCTTGCGTTCCCAGCAGGCTCCAGCAGTGCCCCAGCACCCAGCCATCATCTTAAGACCGCACCCCCACATTCTTCCAGGCAGTTGTGTTCACTCCCTCTCCCATAGCTCAGAGTTCAAGTCCCACACTTGACAGAGAAAATGAGGTACAAGAGGAAGGGGATGGGAAGACGCGATCCCCCCTCCTGAGACCCTGGGGTCAGATCAGCCAGGAGGCTGATGAGAAGAAGAGATGCAGAAGGGTCACACTGTGGCTCCTTCCTGACCCACCTCAGGCAAAGCCCATACTGGCTGCACCCCGCAGTGCCACTGGGCTGGGGCCAGGGGCTGGCTGCCTCCCTCCGCCGCTCTCCTCGCCCCTGGCTGGGCTCTCTCCCTCTCCCCCTTCAGAGCAACCCTCCCGCCCTCTCCCTCCAAGCTCTCTGGCTCTCACATCCTCAGCTCTTGGAAGCCTGACTCACTGTTTCCCCTCCCTCCCTCACTCCTGGCAGAAGTGCCTCCCCCTCCCCTGAGGGGGCTCTGGCCACAAGGGTGCCTGCTCGCTCTTCTCCCCAGGCTCCAGCCCCCCTCTGTGCCGAGGAGCCCCCCCCCCCCCCACAGCTGATCTGGTTCTCCAGCTACAGCGACAAGACCCTGGGTTGCCACAGGATCTGTGACCCTGAGCAAGTGGCTCCCCTCTCAAGATTGGATTCCTTCTGTCATCAAGTGGGAAGGGAAGAGATCCCACCGATCCCAACACGTGAGACAGACACCTTAGGGGTGCTAAGGTCTCCCACTTTTATAACATGGGTGTCTCCTAGCACAGGGTACCTGCCAACCTGTGGAGTGTTCTGCCGAGCCCAGGCCCCGCCCACACGTCCCAAGAACTTAGCTTGGTTCCCAGACACCTGAGAAGGACAGAGGAAAAGCTGCTCTGGCTGGAAGCATTAGGCAAGACCCCTGGAATCCCCCTCTCTCCCTCATCCTGTGGGATTCTTCCCACTTCTTTTTCCCACCTGTCTTTCCCACTTCCCAGAGACACTTGCGCTTATCTTTCCGCCAAAAAACAACCCCAGCGCTCAGTCATAGCAGCTAAGCCCTCAGTGCCTCCTTGAGCCTGGCTACACACAGACAGTGGGATGTGCCTAGGCCCTCTGGGGTTCCTGGAGCTCACCACTGAGCCCTGAGACCCTGGCATCCCTTGCCTGTTTTCTCTCTCACTCTCTTCTGTGGCTATGGCCTCTCTCTCCCTCTCTTCAGCAGCATGTGGCTGTCTGGGTCTCCTCCCCCACCCCACTCTCTCTCCCTGGGGGGGCCCATCTGCTGGCATTAGCAACAATATTACCACCCTTGCTTCAACTAGCCGTCCCCAGCTCCACCACACCTAGGCTTTGCCCCTTCTCTGTGTCCCAAGAGATCCCAGCCACAAGAGACAGAGCTTGGCCTCTTCCCATAATAGTGCATCTGCTTGACCTCACCCAGCCAGACCAGAAGGGCCAGGGCATCTGGTACACAGGCATGGCACCCCCCGGTCTTGGGAGTCTGGCAGAAAATATGGAGCTTGTTCAAGCTCACACACACACTCACACACACACATACATACATACACACACACACACACACATACATACATACACACACACACACACACACACACTCACACACACACATACATACATACACACACACACACACACACACATACATACATACACACACACACACACACACACACACACACACACACACACACTTGCACTTAAGCACAGGCACACAAGTAGACCTGGGGGTGGAGCAGGACAAGGAGGGGAAATAAAACCCAAATCAAGGTTTGCTAGAAGGAAAGCCCTGTCCACCGGGGAACAGAGGCACGCTTCAGGCTGACATTCCTCTGGGGCTCTGCCGGTGTACCCACCCCAACTGTCTCCTGCCAGGAACAGTCTGCCCCAAAGTCACAATCAGGTGGAACCCCCACCCCTTAACATCTTTCTGAATCCAAATCTAACCTCCCTACTATATACCTCTAATTAACTCAGCAAGCAAGAGACATCTTCCTGCCAATATCTAAGCACATGGTGGCGGGGGGGGGGTGCCCCCCACCCCACCCCATCCCCAAAGGCCCCATCAGTTGGGCTGGGGAACATATAATATAATCCTGGAAGCCTCGCACACTAACACTGAGAAACTCAACTGTTCACTCACATTACCTGGGGGTGTCAGGGGTGCTCTGACCCACAACCTTGGTCCAGACCCCCCCAGCCCCAAACCCTAGTAAACAGCAAAGTCTCTTCCTCTCTGACAACAGACCTCTCCAAGCCCAGCAGCTCTCTCCATCACTACCTCAGCCATAGATCACATTAAAAACTCACAGAGGGCAACTTAAACACATCACATTTGTTTCTCTCTATATTATTTCAAAAGTAACGGCATTAAAAATGGATTTTAGTACAGAAAATAAATATCAGCACGTGGGCCCGGAGCCCAGGCAGAGAAAAAAGCCCACCAGGGGAATGTCCCTGAGGATTTAGGCACAACTTAGGCACTGGCCAGGGAGGTGACTGAATGGTCAGACTGCACCCTGGGGATGCCTGGGGAGGGGGCAATGTCTGTCTGCCCGACCTGGGCACCTGCTCCAATGCCAGACCAAGTGGGAGATGAGTCATTGGTTTGGGTTGATGCCCATGGACTCCCAAAGCTCAAACCCTCACCAGTCACTGCCACCCCTGAAGGGTGGGAGCTCTGGGGCCAGAAGTTCACCAGTCTCTGGGGGTTACTCCAACTATTGACACGGGGAAATGAATTCAACTTACTATCCAGTCTGATTTCCCATTACTATAAAAATAAATAGACATCTGCTCAAAGGAAGGAGATCACAAGTGGCATGCATGTGCTACCTCGAGGGTCCCTCCACAGCTGACCACCACAACCGAGCCTGCCTGCTCCTCCTGTGCAGGGAGGGGGAGGTGGACAGGCTGGTAATCTTTCACTCACAGCCCTGGCTCACACAGCCATACACACCGGGCCACACTGAACAGGAACAAGTCAACAATAGAAACACCCCAAATGCTCCTGGCAGGACTCTGCCCAGGCCTGGGCTCATGCCCCTTCCCTGCCAGCGGCAACAGCAAGAGCGGACAGAATGTGGCCACCCTGACCCGGAGGCAAAGCTTGTCCTCACACCCTGAGCTCAGCCCAGGGAGCTGGGGCCAAGTCCCGCCTGACACCAACTGGTCCAGCGGGAAACGCCTGCCCAGCCAGACAGGCACAGGCCCCCCAAGGGTCCCTCCTTGTGCTCAGGGACCGGGCTGGTGCGGCCCAACCCTGCCTCCCAGGGTGACGCCTGGGCCCAAATTCAGCTGGCCCTGCCAGTCAGGCACTGGTGCAGAACCGAGGGCACCAGGCTCAGCCCCTCCCAGCCCAGCCCCAGGGCCCCCAAGCTGGGAGGGAGGGGAGACTCCCCACCCCTCCACATCTGGCCCTGGCCCCTAGGGTCTGCGGTAGAGAATTCCCGCCCCCGCTTCTCTCCCTCCTCCTGCTCTGTGCGATCTGTGCCCGCTGCCCGCCTCAGGGACAGCCCCAGCTCCCGCCTCCGGCCAGCAAGGCCCACATCCTTCCTCCCTCAGCTGGCCCCTTTGCCTGGCAGGAGGCTGGGGGGTCAGGCTGCTGGGGAACCCTCCCCCCAGCTCCCACCAGTCCTCATCCCCAGCCCCCAAACTCTGGGTAGCTGTCCCTTTTCCTGTAGAACAGGAAACAAGGTTATTTCCTAGTCTCAGAGCCAGCCCCCTGCCCCTCTGGCTCTGCCCGGGGACCCAGACCCAGCCGGGAAAGGCGCCCTCAGCCAGAAAGCGGAGATTCAGCAGCTCACCCCAGCTCCCGACCTAGGGGGCTGACAGCTGTCACTCAGCACCCCACCCCCTGGGGAAGAGGGGCCGATTCAATCAGAGCCCTAGAGGAAACGTATTGATAGGCGATTATTTATTTATTTATGCAAAAGTGAGCCGACTTTGTTCGCCAGGTAACCGGGCACGCGGCCCAACCCCTCTGGCCAGGCCGCCCCCAAATCCCTCCTCCGCCCCACACCCCCTCCGGGTCATTAGGTCCCCGCCCCTCAACTCCCTGAGCGCCAGCGGAACCTTGGGATTTGGGGGCTGGAGGGGAGGGGCTCCTCCCTCCGCAGTCTCCCCGTTTCCCAGCGCCTATCCTAAAATCCAGCCTTGTTCTCCGCTCCCACGGTCCCCCTACATCCCACCCCCCCACATTCTCAGCAAGCTGGAGAGCAAATTGCAGTTTTAAATCCAAAGGCGGAGGGAGGGGGAAGGAGGAGGGGGTGCGCGGCAGCGCTGGGCGCGCACCTCGCCCCCGAGCCGGGGGAGCCGCGGGGCGGCCAGGAAACCCGAGAACCCCCCCTCCCCGCCCCCCCTCCCCGTCCACCTCCCCCTCCCCCTTCCCGGCGCTGCCTGCCAGGCTTCGAGCCGAGCCCAGCCGAGCCGCGGGCCCCGGTGGAAACAAAGACCGATCGCACCGCGGGCACCGCAGCCACGGGGTCCGGCGGACCGGACTGGGGGCGCTGGGCCCCCCCTCAGTGCGCTGCACAAAAGAGCCTGGCCGGCCGGTCCCCAGCGGCGTCTAGAGCTGGGCAGGAGGCGCTACTTACCGGAGTGCTGGGCTGCCGGCTCCGTGGGTCCGAGCCAGGCGAGGGGTTTTCGGGGGGCGTCTATCTTCCGCCAGCGGCAGCGACGCGGACGCCTGGCTGCTGGGAAGAGGAGTCGTAGAGGAGCCCTGAGCCGCCTGCCGTCGCTGACAGCATGGCTCGCGCCTCGGCTCACATTCTCCGCCGCTAACTCTGCTGGACACGGCCCCCCGCTCCCGCGGCGCCCCCCCCCCCCACGATCACTCCTTCTCTATCTGCGCCCCACTCGCTCCCCCAGCCGCGCACACACTCTCACAGCCCTGGACACCCCCGCCCCCAACCCCCCCAATTGCAAACCTGGGAGGGAAGGCGCCCCGCGTAGTCCTCCTGCTCCTCCTCCGCCGCCCTCCTCCCTCCCGCTCTGTCTGTCTGTCTGTCTGTTTGTCTGCCTGTCTCTATTTCTCGCTCTCTCTGCCTTTCTCTGCTCTCCGAGCTGGGTGGGAAAAGGAAATGAGGACAGAAAGCAGACGCTGGCTTTGGGTGGTGGTAGCTGGATTCCCTCTCTCCCTCCCTCCTCCCTCCTCCCCTCCCTCCTCCTGCCTTCTGCTCTCTCCGCTGCGAGCGGGGCTGAGCGCAGCCTGGCGGGTGGCTCGCTCTGCCCGCCCGCCCGCCTGTCTGTCTGTCTGGTCTGCCTCGCTCGCTCCCTCCCTCCGTCTCTCGCCCTCGCCCTGCCTGCCTGCCTGCCTCTCTCCGTCTCCACCGCCGCCGCCGCTGCCTCTGCGAGCTCGCCTTACCTTCGCTGCTCACCATCCGGAACCCCAGGGGGGAGCGCGCGCAGGGCACGCCGGGACTTGTAGTCCCCGCTCGGCCGCTCCGCGCGCTGGGCGGGCGGGGCCGCTCCCGCTGCTCCGACGGCGCGGCCCGAAGCGGACCCTGTGCCTGAGTCTCCCTGGCCGGGATGAGTCTCGGTTGATCTAGGACTGCTGATCCTCCTCAAGGGTTAGGAACATTCCCAGCGTTCCGAGGCCCCTACCCCGGACTCTGGCTGCGCCGAGGTTGCGGGTGGTAGCGCAGGGGCGGGGTCTGAGAATGGAATGAGTGGAATAGGGCATCAGAGGATGAGCCAAGAGGGCTGCGACTTTCTGGGGTGTCCCAAACACGTTGAGAGGGGCCGTGGAGAGAAGAAAAAACTGACACTCTCAATTTTGGGGACGTTTTTCCTATGAGAAGAGGCTTCTGGCGAGAAAGCCGCTCTGGAAACGCCAAAGCCTCCTCCGCACTTAGTGGCCCTTCCCCTCAAACTCAGCCCTGGATTTAATTCCTCCGGCGCCTACTTTTTGTTGTCGTCCAAGGGCGACGAGGGCGCAAAAATCCTGGGCAACTCATAGATACCATGCCTCCTCCCGAATTTGAACAATTGTTTGTAAGCCGAATTCAACAGTTCTCCAGCTCCTGCTGCGGCGTGGGGGTTGGGTTCAGCACTTTCACCTACCTCCTCTTCAGGTCACATCTGTTCTCCAGCCCCTGGCTCAGGGCCCCCTGCCTTGTCTACCCCACAGATGGGAATGTGCGCCGCTGAGGAAGGCTTTGTTACTCCAGGGAGGTGGCTGGACAGCCCTAAAAGGAGAATTGCCGCGGCTGCCATTTAACTGAGCACCCGGGCACCACGGAGTCCTTGAGCATTGCAACAACCCTCGAAGACCTTATTTCAATCACAGAAACAGGAGTTCTGAAGCCCAGGTGTCCCGATTAGAAAGTGGTGGCTCCAGGGTCTGGCTAAGTCCAAAGCTCACATACTTAACCCTTGGGCAATGACAGAGTGGCGACTCCCCATATCCCTCTTCCTGGCTGACCTTTCCGTGTGTCTGTGTACTTGGCACTTCAAGCGTTTGTTGAGGTTTGCAGGAGAAGCAGATGAATAACGCATGATCACTGCTTCGCTACATGTCTGCTGACTGGTCCTGAGCTGATCCCAACTTCATGGCTGTGGCTGACATTCCTCTGCCCAGTGTCTGCTGGCTTAGTCCATCTTGTCCCATGCCCGAAGCTTCTCTGGCAATGTCCTTACGCTTGGTCCTCCTGTTTGTCATATCGTCTTCAGTCTTTCAGGGTCATAGCTAGTCAACATGTATCGAAGATAGATAGTGACAACATGCTAACCACAGCACATTCTCACCACCGTCCCGTACCCCCACTTCCCACAACCCCCATCCTATAGAAGAATTGGAATTTTCCCAGAAAACAAGCGAACAGTTCTAAAAAGCATACCCACTGATGTGGCATCATGTGACCCACTGGGGAGACCTCTATCTAGGGGCAGCTTCTCTGACAGACAAAGTAACCCTGGGAATTGATTATGATCAGGTCAGCCATTAATAAAAGCGATAGGTACTTTAGAGGCCCTTTTGTAGTTCCAAATCCCAACTCTGAGGTTATCACAAATAGATGACATTTTTGGTGTCTTGCCATAGCTGACCCCCCACCCCCACCGCCACCCCCCTCACAGTGTAGACTTTCACACTGAAGAGAGTGAGAGAAACCCAGGTCCCCCAGTCTTTAATTCCTCACACACCCTTACCACCCTGAGGCTCTACTACAGGATGTGAAGACCCTTACTGTTGGAGTTGGAGTTAAATTTAGGGAGAGGATGGGGTGGAGTACTACAGGAGGTAGAGAGCCCCGGGAAAGATGGGACTGACTGGAGTTCGGGAAAAGCATGGAAGGAGGGAGAAAGAATGCTAGGCAGGTGGTGACAGGGCACAGGAGTTAGGTAGGGTATCCCAAGGATGTCCCTTGCACTTCAAGGGGCTGCGGGTGTCCGCTCTGAAGACGTGGTGGTAGCCCCAAAGGGTTGCGGATTACTGGGAACAAAGCGCATCAGAGTCTTCCTGGAATTTGGGGGCAGGTTTATTTATTTATTTTTTTAATGGAGCTTCTCCAAAGTATGTTGGGGGTTCCCCAAACAGCACACATGAAATATTCTGTGGGATGCTGCTGCCACCTAGTGTCCAGTCTACATATCTGCTGCGTCGGTAACTCAAGCTGCAAAGAACTGAGTCTCCCAAGAGTCTCCATCTCTTCTCTTTCTGGGCTCAGCTTCCTCCAACCACTTTTGTTTCAGTGGAAGAAAACCTGGTCTATTCAGTCCCCAGGAAATATTGCTGAAAGTCCAGATAAACCTGTGGGGGCCTGAGGTTTTAGAGGCCCTGTAAACTGGGACCCAGGCACACCTGATCTTGCTGTTATTTGTTGTGTGTTCTTGTTCGAGCGAAATAGAGTCAGGTTGAGACTAACGTAACGTATAGAAGCCAAAGTGATCTGCAAACCACACTGGGGGTCGTGGTATATGTCTATAATCCCAGCACAAGAGAGGTGGATGCAGGAAGATCAGAAGTTCAAGGTCATCTTCAGCTGTAGAGATAAACAAAGCTGACCTGGACTACATGAGACTCTCCCTTGGGAAAAAAAAAATGCTTTGAAAAATGGCAAGGTACAGGAGAGATTATCGAGTCATAAAAAGGATGCAATAATTGACAAATCCCTGGGATTCATGGAAAGGGGAGAAAAGGTGGTGCCCTGTCTCTGAGTACGGAGGTTCTGGGGCTTCTTTAGGGGAGGTCTGGATTCAAGAGATCAATTCAGCCTAGTCCATACAAGAAGAAACTGAAAGCTAACAAGCTTTCCTGAACTTTCCTGAGCCGCTGAGCTGCAGATCCGAGAACAAGAGGCCCATTGGACTGGAGCCATTAGGTCCCTGCTTTACTCCTGCTTCGGATGGAGGAGCCAGAGCTGGGGCCCAGGAGATCAGGGAAGCAGGAAGCCCCCCTCACAGTGGAGACTCAGGGCCCCCCCCCGGCCCCCCCCCCCGTTAGCCCTCCTTCTGCGCCCTGCCCCCCTCCCTCCCCTGTGCAAGCCCTCCTACATTCCTCCAGGCAACAGGAAACCCCAGCTGCAGCCCAGACTTCAAACAGCTCCTCCCTCTGGGGCAGGGGGTGTGGGAGGAGAGGCCAGAGGCCACAGGGCAAAGGTCAGCTTTGTTCCTGCCAGAGGTGGTGAGGGACCTGGAGGAGACAGAGGGGGCAGGGTTGGGCCCTTGGCAGCTACACTGCATGCGTGTGAATTCCTGTGCCCACCAGGGTGGACAAGGTCCCGGCTCTCTCCCTGTGTCCAGGGGTAAAGGTGTGTGTCCTTGGTTTGCGTTCAGTTATCTCCCAGACTGTAGGTCAGCACATTGTTGTTCCTCTGTGAGCGCTTACTTAGCCTGGGACGCCACTGATAAGTCTGTAGGTGGTTATCAAGTCTATTGGTATGTGGGATTCACGGGCCTGGTCAAGGCTGGGTGTCCTGTGAGTGTGACCTAGGGTGGTACTGTGTGTTCAGACTGGATATCCTCCCGTCAAATCCCTCCACACTGGTCACCGGGGTTTTCCTCTGAAAAGTGGATGTGGCCTTGTTTACCCTCAGACTCAAAACTCTACGGTGGCTGAACATGCCTGTACACTCGGCGCTCCAGAGCCTGGAGGTGAATTTGAGGCTAACCTGGACTACCGAACCAGCCTGACCTACAGTGTGAGACCCTGTTTCAAAAGCAAAACAAAAGCCGGAGAGATAACTCAGTGTTTAAAAACACTGGCTGTTCTTCCAAAGGTCCTGAGTTCAATTCTCAGCAACCACATGGCGGTTCACAACCACCTGTAATGGGATCTGATGCCCTCTTCTGGCACACAGGTATACATGCAGAGCACTCATACATAAAATATAAATTAAAAAAAAAAAAAAAAAAAAAAGCAAAACAAACCAGGGGACCGGAGGGATAACTCACAGGTTTACAGCTGTTCTTTTAAGAACCAGAGTTCGATTCCCAGCACCCACCTCGGGCAGTCCACCACCATGTGTGCCTTGAGCTCCAGGGAATGGCATGCCTTTGGCAACACAGACACTATGTGTATGTGTATGTGTATGTGTATGTGTATGTGTACACACCCATTTGCACAATACACATATACACATATATACATGATTAAAAAAAAAAAACCCACAAAACTCTACTTTGCTTCCTGTTGCTCCAGGGTTAGAATCCCAGGCAAGTGTATGGTTGGCCAGACACTAGCTAACTCATCTTCATTTTTAGGCACTAACCCCCAGCAAAGCGAAGTCCCCTCCAGTCAACCCTACCTAATGTAGGTAATGTACTTCCTGGCAGTTTTCATTTCCTGTCTCTGGGTTTACTTAATTCTGTCTCTTGCTTCTTTTTTTTTTTTTTTTTGGTTTTTTTTTTCGATTTTTCGAGACAGGGTTTCTCTGTGTAGCTTTGCGCCTTTCCTGGAGCTCACTTGGTAGCCCAGGCTGGCCTCGAACTCACAGAGATCCACCTGGCTCTGCCTCCCGAGTGCTGGGATTAAAGGCGTGCGCCACCAACGCCCGGCTGTCTCTTGCTTCTTTAAAAAAAGAAAAAAAAATGTTTTTAAGTGGAGTATTTTGATACAGGGTTTCCAATAGCCCAGACTAGCCTGAAACTCACTGTGTAGCTAAGGATGATCTTGAATTCTCAATTCTCCTGCCTCCACCTCCCAAGGGATGAAATCATAGGCTTGCTGCAGCAGACTGCCCCTCTCTCGTCTCTTTCTTAATGAAACAAGGTCTCTCCTTATGTAGCTTCCGCTCACCTCAGATTCACAGTCCTCAAGGGCAAGAATGTATCACCATGCCTAGTCATCCCCCCCCACCCGCCCCACCCTTTTTACTTGT